TTCAGCAGGCAAAATGGACAAATAAAACTATTTACAAAAACAGTGAAACATAATCTTTAAAGACAGATATGTAATAAATATTGAAGTGAAGAACACACTTTGTGGGTAAAGGAACACAGTATAGGACAGGCTACACAACAAAGCTCATATCTGAGTTGAGTCTTTTTAAAAAATTATTTATTTAATTTTATTTATTATTATTTTGTTTGCCATGGTACACATGAATTTACTAGAGAGACAGAGACAGAGAGAGAAAGAGAGCGAGAAGCAAAGTGAGAAACCAAGACACTAGGTCCGGGACTCGAACCACGGTCAACCACATGGGAGTCCAGTGACTTAACCACTATGCTACCTGCTAGCCCCTTGAGTTGAATCTTAAAGGGTAAGCAGATAGTCAATAGTGCATTCCAGGAGAGGAGAACAAAGGTAGATGGTAAGACATGGAACACCCCAAAATGATTAGAAACTTCCATGCAGTTTGAGTTGGCCGAGTTATAGGTTAAGAAACAAAAAGGGAGATTAGGAAGGAAATACAGTGAGAAAAGTAGAAATCATGTTATGATTAAGCAGGAAGACATACATATTTCCTTATGAATACCTAACCTTTATATTTCTTTTTGATGAAAAGCTTTGCTTAAATGTTAAGAATTTGCCTTACTGGGACCAGCAGTTGGCGTAGTGGTCATGTCGCTGGAATCCCATGTAGTCAACCATGGTTTGAGTCCTGGACCCAGTGGCTTAAAACTCACTCTTGGGAACGTGTGCGTGCGTGCCCAAGATCCCAAGAGGAGGATGCAGGAGAAGGGATTGCGGCATGGCCATTCCCCCTGAGGTGTGATTTCTCGCTTTCTGTCTCTCTGTCTCTTTTTGGCAAGCGCACACGCCCTATTGCAAAAACCTCTCAAAAAAAAAAAAAATTTTGTCTTATTCATTTATAGGGCTACTTGAGTCACTAACTAGATAGTAACTTTTTGTCACCTTTAATTTTTAATTTTATTCACCTTTAATGTACAGAAATTTTAAAAGTGATCAAATCAAATTTTTCTTTTGTATTTGAAACCACTGTTCTTATGCTTAGAAAATCAGATTAAATGTTATCCAAAGAAATATCATAAAGGGAAGAAAAACTAAAACAGACTCATGATATAGTTAGGCTATAGAGTTGATATGTGAGAAGAAGAGCAGGTGAGAAAGCAACAATCAGGAATGAAAGATGAATCTGAAGACAACTTCTCAGGGAGGGGAGTCTCAGAATGGTCAGTTACAGATGTAAGAGAAATACTAGAAAAGTAGCTTCAAGGGAGACAAGGTACAGAAAAAATAAACAGAATATTCTACAATGCTCTTCAGGCTTAAAGAGTTATTGCTAGTTTCTTTGGATCTCAATAAAATCCCCAGTTTTCTTTTGGATAAGTCCCTTAGAAAGTTACTTTTAAATCTTTGGAGTACTAGAGTTAATCTCAGTAATATCTATGACTTTTTTTCTTTCTTTCTTTCTTTTTTTAAAATTATTTATTTCTTTTTTTATTATCATCATAATCTTGTTTATATTACATTGGACTGCATATAACTTTACAGTGAATTACATTGCCTTTTCGAAAGGGAATGCCATGCATGTCAGTCAATACAGAGACATTAATCTCCCCACTTCATTGTTCAATATCTTTTCATTGTTTTTCCCCACCATTATTATTATTATTCCAATTATATTTTTTAAACAATGACTTTGAAGGGCACGTTAAAATGCCAACTGTTGGGATGAGAAGACAATGTAATCATTATGTTGCTGGACTTCCATGTAGTCAACCATGGTTTGAGCAACCTGGACCTGGTGGCTTAAAACTCAGGCCAAGCACATGTGTGTTCACGCCCAAAATCCTGAGAGGAGAATGGAGAAGGGATTACAGTGTGGCCATCTCCTCTGGGGAGTAATTTCTTGCTTTCTGTCTGTCTCTCCCATGAGTACAAAAAATCTCTCTCAAAAAAAAAAGAAAAAAAAGCCAACTGTCAAAATAAATTTCATTCCAATAAACATGATTTACCTAACAATTTTTTTACTACCTCAATAAACTCCTATGTTATTCCTCTTTAGTAGAGCTACTCTTCATCCTATGGACAGCAATAAAATGAACTTGTTAAAAGATCATCTTCTGGGACTGGCGGGTAGCATGGTAGTTATGGTGCTGGATTCCCACATAACTGACTGTGGTTCGAGTCCTGGATCTGTTGGCTTGCTTTCTCCCTCTCCTTTTCTCTCTCTGGTCATTTTGAACAATTATAATAATAATAATTAATAAAATTATCCTTTAAAAAATCATCTTATGGTTGTTTCATCTATTCTATTTTGGTTTTTAAAAGATTATGATGGAATTAGTGCATGTTTGGGAAACTAGAAATTCATGCATTTGGGAGATGTGGCTCAAATAAACTACTTTTATTAAAAAAAAAATCAAGGGAACCAGCAGTTAGTGTAATGGCTATGTCGCTGGACTCCTACGTAGTCGACTGCGGTTCACGTCCCGGACCCGGTGGCTTGAAACTCACGCCGGGCGCGTGTGCGTGCGTGCCCAAGATCCCGAGAGGAGAATGGAGGAGAAGGGATTGCAGCGTGACCATCCCCCCTGGGGGGTGATTTCTCGCTTTCTGTCTCTATGTCTCTCTCTGTCTGTCTGGCGAGGGCACACGCCCTACAGTGAAAATCTCTCCCCCCCCCCAAAAAAAATCAAGATGGCCTGACCAAGTCTTTCAGACATATTCACAAGATTGATGACAACAATGCGGATATCTAATCTTACTAATTTATAGTAGTCAATATTCACTTTGACTATAAAAAAAAAGTTTACTCACCTGCGACCACATTCTGAATATTTACCAATATTTTTTAATATTAAGGCAGCTGTTAGTCGGATGTGTTTAGTTATTGGTCCCTCTTTTTCATCCTTAAAAAGAAAAGAAAATTAAAAACAAAATAATAGCAATCTACATCATACATGGCTCACATCTGTATAGTTAGGGCTTTCAGGACATGCTTACTGTAAAATCTCGAAAGACAAGGTTTCTTGATCCTCTCCTTAGAGCCATAAGTGCAGCACTGGGATGATTCACAATGGCCTTCTGTGCTCTAGGAGTTGAGCTTGTGCCCCCTACAGCTGGCTGCCTAAATTGATCAGATAAAAAAGACACTTAATATGATATTGCAGACAAACTGATGATGATGGATCAACTAGCCAAGCCCCTTAAGTGGTCACTTTCAAATCGTGGGTACAGGAATGGCTCTGTGCTCCAGCATTAATGTTGATGCTTGTGTCAACCTCGGCAAAACGGGTCCCTAGTATCAAGACAAAGCTTTGAGTTCTTTATTTTCCAATCTACCAGTTAAAAAGCAAGCAACTGATATCTTAGTATGGCCCATCTTTAAAGTTACTGTGCTAAGTATTCAATCAAAACACAACATGGTACCAAGGTTATAAAGTCCTTGTCTTTCAATGCACAGTAGTTTCCCTTTATCCATGATTTCACTTCCCATGGTTTCAGTTACCTGCAGTCAATTGTGGTCTGAAAATATCAAATGAAAAATTTCAAAAATAGTTCATAAGTTTTAAATTCCATGCTATTCTGAGTAACATGATGAACTCTCCTGCTATCCTACTGTCTCCTGAGACATGAGTCTGGCATATCCACAGACTGCCTGTCAATCACTCAGCCATCTCTATTATCAGATAACTGCCATAGTATCACAGTGCTTGTGTGTTCAAGTAACCCTTATTTTACTTAACAATGACCATAAGGTGCAACAGTAGTTGATATTGGTATATTATTCTAATTGTTCTTTTTTATTTATTTATTTTTTTGGTTACTGCTGTTAACTTCTTGCTGTGCCCTAATTTATAAATTAAACTTTATCATAGATATGTATGTTTAGGGAAAAATACATATAAAACATATATATGTATATATGGTTCAGTACTATCCAGTTTTTTAAAAGTTATTTATTTATATTAATATTTTTTAAAGTGACAAGAAAGAGAGAGAAAAGGAAAGCAAGCCGCCAGGTCTGGGATATGAACTGTAGTCGGTCATGTGGAAGTCTAGTGCCTCAACCACCATGCTACCTGCTGGCCCTGAGGTTTTCTATTTTTTTCCAAGAGAGATTTTTAGCTACAGGGCAGGTGTACTTACTTCCTGGAGAGAAAGAGAGACAGAAAGCAAGAAATTACACCCCCCCCCCCCCAGGGGATGGCAATACTGGAATCCGTCTCCTCCATTCTCCTCTTAGGAATTTGGGTACGCATGCACATGCACCTGGCATGAGTTTTAAATGACCAGGTTTAGGACTCAAGTCACAGTCGACTACATAGGAGTCCAGGGATATAAACATCACTGCATCTGCTGGTCCCGCTAGCTGCAATTTTAAGCATTTACTGATACCTTCAGGGTCTTGGAATGGACCCCCATCCCTTTGGATTAAGGGGTACTACTGTACTGTGAAGATGTTAACAAAGAAGAAAATAGCCTATAATTTGAGCTGCAAATTATTATTTATAAATAGTATCTAAGAGCAAAATAATGTTACCTAAGCATGTGTTGGCACAGGACATCCAGGAAAAGCTAACCTATATAATATAAAATCATGCTTAACCCTTCATTTCACACTATTATTTTCTTCCCTGATCTTATTTTTCATTATTTAATAAACTCAATCCTTTTATTATAGTTCAACCATCCCTTATGGAAGATATAGTATGGAATGAATGAAACTGTAGAGATGGCTTTAAAAACAAAATCAGATTCAAACTACTGTACACTTCTTTGACCAAGGAACTAAACTGCATCACTTCACCATGCTCTAGTTAGGCAACAGTGGAGAAAGCACTGACTCATACTTGAGAAAACCTTGTTTATGACACTTTAAAACCTGCAAGATTTCAATACTTTTCACATCTGTAAAGTGGAGATACTTCCGGTACTTTTTTTACATAAATTAATTTTGAATGTTTAAAATTTTATTTATTCGTTTAATTTTTTAAAAAATTTGACCAGAGATAGAGACAGAGAGAGAGAGAGAGAAAGCCATCAGGTCCAGGACTTGAATTGTGGTCGGCCATCTGGGAGTGTATAGCCCCTTAACCACCATGCCACCTGCTGGTTCCCAATTTTGAATATTAAATAGGATAATGTAAAAGCCATCTTTAAACTGTAAATCAGAGACCAGCAGATGGTGTAATGGTTACATTGCTGGACTCTCACGTAGTTGACCATGGTTTGAGTCTCGGACCCGGTGGCTTAAACTCATGCCGGGCATGTGTGCATGCATGCTCACCCAAGATCCCGAGAGGAGAATGGAGAAGAAGGGATTTTGTCTCTGTTGAACGCACATGCCCGATAGCAAAAACCTCTCCAGAAAACAACAACAACAAACTGTAAACCAGCTATGTATGTGTGACAAATAGTTCTAGTTTATAAAGCATTAACATTTTATTACTTCCAATGACTTGTCTAAAAGAAGAATCTAAGTAACAGAGCTACAAAGTACCTTATAGATCACATGGTCCAGTCAGTATAAAAAGTGATGACTAGAGAATTTATGCAATTTGAACCAGACTGCATAACTGTGTAGTGATAGAGCTGGACTAGAACTCAAATTTTTGGTCCCTCAATAAGTTAGGTTCTCTTTTATTGTTCCTGCATTTAGTCTAGTTTTTTTGGAATTTCTTTTTGTATGTTCAATGAGAAGTAAACTTATTTTCCTTACTTGGTAGAAGATTTTTGATTTCCTGCCTGTCCTGGTTCATCTTGTTTTAATCCTGCCAGCAGGGCATCCTTTGAACAATGCTTATCCTTTTTGAGGAAAAAAGAAATAAAAAAAAATACCCATCAAGATCTTTAATACATAATCAGGTGTGTTCATGATCATACAGTATTAAGAATGAGTACCTGTAAGTGGGTTATAAAAGAAAACCTCTGTCGCTGAAAAGGCTCACAACCTTCCCAAAGACACTGGCCTGGATATACATCTTTTCCTCCATGTTCAGTAGCTGCATGGTAGAAAACCTGTGACGGTGTCTGAAACCACCTACAGAAAATAAAATAGTAGACACTTTATCTGACACTTGGACTTGTTCTTTAAAACTTGCTCTTCTTAATACAAATTTTGGATCAATACACAGAAATATTAAGTAACAGAGGGCAACACAATCTCTCATTTATTTCATTTTTAAAGTATAGTTTTTAGCTACTTTGAGAACTTCTCTGCTTATATTTCCAGTTTGAATAATTCAACTGTACTGAACACTCTTGTTTTAAGTTTATCCTTCATTTCTAATTCTCAGGCTTCAATGATGGTTGGATAAAAATCTTCTGAAAGAAAGTGAAATGCCATTTTAAAATTAACAGGACATTGTCTTATAAACAAATACTATTCATTATTATACTTATAGAAATTGCTCAAGCATTTACTAGATTTCATATAACAGATACTAATTTAGTATATCCAAACAATTTAAATTCTATAAATTTTAGTTAGTCTGGTTTTATAGCAGAGTTCACATTTTGTGAGTATTTAAGGACTCATGTGTCTTATTTTCCCAACAGCATACCACACTTAGTACTAGGCTTAACAACTGTCTGAGTGGTTAGGTGGAAAAGAGCATAAAATTGAAGTCAGATACTGGTCTCCTTTATTAATTAGAAAACATGGCAATGAGAGAAAACACGGAAATCTACACAGCCAAAGAATGTTTTAAAAGGCTTCAATTACTACAGTAATACAAATATTTGTACAATCAGTAATCTTTTTATGGCTGTCATATAAGCGTGTCTATATTTGAACCACTTTGTAATGTGCACAGCATAAATCTAATATTTCAAATTAACATCCGTTCAGGAAATGATTGACATTTTAAAATAAAATTTAATCAAAAGGTAATTAAATACCAAATTACAAAGACGATGTAAAAAAAACCACTGTAAATTAGATTCATTTCCATTCATATTCATCCATATAAATGCCTATAAAACTTTACTATAAAACTAAAATTAGTTACTTTTTTAGAATTATTTTATTTATTATTTCATTAATTTACTATTGGACCCATGCACTCACCAGAGAGAGACAGAGACAGAAAGAGAGAGAGGGAAAGTGAGAAAGCAAGCAGCCAGGTGTCCAAGATTCAAACCTCAGTCCACTGTCTGGGAGTCCAATGCCGTAACCACCATGCCATCTGCTGACTGCAGTTAGTACATTTTAAGTTCTGGAATTTCTTTTTATTTCCAGCACGAGAAATGCTATTTCATTTATATAAGATAAATATGACTGGAGCTCTGTTACTTATATTAATAATTGCCACAAGGATACATTTCTTAGACTTCACCTAAATGATATAATTAAATACAAAGCATCTAGAAACACATACGCACCCACCCACCACAAAATCCAAAAGTGTTACTACCCTTAATCAAAATGAATTTCCATTTCGGGAACCAGCAGTTAGCGTAATGGCTATGTCACTGGACTCCCACACAGTCGACCGCAGTTCGCGTCCTGGACCCGGTGGCTTAAAACTCACGCTGGGTGCGAGTGCGTGCGTGCCCAAGATCCCGAGAGGAGAATAGAGGAGAAGGGATTGCGGCGTGATTTCTCGCTTTCTGTCTCTATGTCTCTCTCTGTCTGGCGAGCACATGCGCCCTATAACGAAAACCTCTTCAAAAAAAAAAAAAATCCATTTCTCAACTATTTTCTATTACATAAAATTAATTAATTTACTAGCTATAAGAAAAAAGGATAGTGCTTCTATTTTTTTAAATATAACTTTTGAAAATTAATTTACTTTGCGAGAGAGGTGTGTACCTTCACAGCAAAGTCTTCACACTGAAATCTTCCCCAAGTTTCAGCTGGTTCAGATCACAGGCATGTAACTAGCATGCTCGGGGAGATCCTGGGACATGAACCTATGACCTTATCCCTGTGGGTCCATATGTGTTACCACTACGATACTGTCAGGCCCCCAGTTAGTGAATCTTTAAATCAATTTAAACTTCTAAATATACACAAATATGTATGATTTTAAAACAATTGATATTTAGAGTGTTTATTATCACTCTACCATCCCCACTCTTTTTATTTTTTAAAATTTTAAAATTAAAAAAAAATTAATTTGCTATAAGATACATGAGCTCCCTGGAGAGAGAGAAGTGAGAAAGCACTCCCTATGGGGGATAATCATGCTGCAATCCCTTCTCCTCTGCTCTCCTTTTGGAGTTTTGGGCATGACACATATGCACCTGGCCTATCTTTCAAGTTGCTGGGCCCAGGACTCCAACTGCACAATTGGCCATATGGGATCCAGTAACCTTAATCACCATGCCACCTAGCTAGTCCTATAGTTTACTTTTTAATATCGGCCAATAAATTCTGAAAGCATACTAGGTTTAAGTATGATATACAATCTCCTTATTCTATGTACAAGTTTCCGAGGAATAAATGTTTATTGGTAAGCTTCACATTAGACTATCATCCCAGGAAATTCTTTTCCCAAATATTTTCACTATTTGACTCTGAAAAGCATTTCAAAACAATTTGGCAAATCCATGTTGCGGGATATAACCTTTTTGTATTTGGTAACAATTTTAAGTGGTTAAGTTTCAGTATTCACTATGTAAAACAACAAACTAAGGTTAGAAACAAACAACAAATTGTTAACCACTTGTGGTGGAAATTAGGGTTTTTCCTAATACCAATAGTCTGTTTATGGCAGATCAGTACACTGAAGGATCATAAAGAAATGCTATTGAAAAATATTATTGCATGAAATTAGTCTTGTATTAATAAAAGATCATCAGTTCAAATTATAAGTAAGTACAGTTAAAAACAGAAAAATAGTGATTCTGGAGTTTTAACATAATTTTTTTTTATAAACTACAGGATGACTACCTGTTATCCTGACAACTTATATAAAATATAAAATGCTGGGCTGGCCCATAGCATTGATTAGGGAAGCTAGATCCCACACGACCAACCACGGTTTGAATTCTGGTCATACGTGTGCGCATGTGCGTGCCTGTCCCAAACACCCACTGCATGGAGAAATGGAGAAGGAACTGTGGTGGGACCACACTCCATTGCAAGGTGTTCTCATATCTCCCAAGTGAAGGGGAGGGGTTGGGGCAGGGAGGAAAGGAGTGGAAAAGAGAGAGAGGAAGAGAAAAGAGAAAATGCAAGATGCTGACAACAAGCTAGGGTTGCAAATCGCTGACTTTAGAAATCAAGCTAGTTAATCTTCATTAACTCACTCAGAAATTGTTAATTAAGAAGTATTTTATGTGCCTGACACTGTGCTAATATACTGGGTCATCAGAAAAGTCATGATGTATTTTTCTGTGCAAACAATGTGCCATGACTTTTCAGACAACGCAATAAAAAAACTTCAGAGTGCTCTGAAGATCTTTAATTTTATGATCCCAAAATAAAGACAAAAGATACTATAAAACTAGTTTTGATTTTATTCTCTTACTGACATATAATCTAACTTGTTGATCAATCTTATTACTGGTTAATTTCAAATACTTAAACTGGCTATTTACCTAGAATTAAGCAGTCCTTACTGAAGACACAGTATTATGAATTACAAATTGCCACTGTGGGCAGTTTTCTGTAATATCTGATTAGTCTTTAGATACTTCTTCACATTCAAATAAAAGGATAAATATGCCATCAGCTCTTGTTAACTATTTGAACTTCTTTCAGTATGTATGAACTGATGACATTTTTCCCTGAAATAGCCATTATTAGAGGAAATTAAAGATTTATCAGGAATTTTGGATACCTCTGAAAGAAGTAAAAGACCTTTACTGAGAATATAAATTCTAGCTATCTGTGAGTTTTTAATAATTTATTAAATAAAGTTGACATAGGTTGCTGTTGTTTTCTGTTCTTTCCTATCAGAACAACCATTATTCAAAGTTCAGCTTGATACAAAAATATTATTCCTGCTTTAATAACAGGTGTAATTACGCCTTAAGAAAGAACCCTTAGGAGAAACTCCAACTCTATAGGGCGTACTAGGAAACCAGCTATTTGAATCCCAAAATAGTTACAGTAGATTCTTTGGGATGTCAAAGAATATCAATTTTACTAGTACCAAGTAAGAGTCCATGGCAAATAGAGCAGCTTTCACAATGGAAATGTTTGTTTAGATTAATCTCAGATTGTTTACATTTCTGGTTTGACATAAATATATTCCAAAAATAAGTGTAATATATTATATTTCTCTCAAATACAAATAATTTTCATCCTTTATGTAGCAACTATTAACTACAAGTCCATGAGGAGTAATATACCCTAGACAAGTGGTTTTCAAATATTTTCACAGTGGTAGAATCCTCTTTTCAAACAAAATACTACTTAAAAACTCCTATATATAAAACAAAAAGCAGAGATTCTATAGTTAAAGGCAAGCTGGAGGGTGTCAAACTTTGACTTTCTGATAGCATTCATTTGAAGAACACTTGGTCAAGAAACAGAAAGTCCTACAAATATTGTGAATATAAATTCCTGACCACCTAGAAGCACCAAGTCTCTTCCTTAAAATTCCATAGAATTTAAAAATTACACAAGGTACCATATAGAAATACTATGCCATTTTGTATAAGTGACTGGGACATCAGCAGATTTTGATAATAGAGATGGTTCTTAGAACCAATACCCTTCCAGATATCATGCTTAATAACAATACAGAAAGTGAAATTTGGAAACTTGAACCTTCTCCCAGAACAAGAAACTGTTCTCAAAGACATAGCCCTTAAAGGAAGGCCAACTAAAAACAGAATGATCAGACATTACTAATGCTGTCTTGGTGCTGTCTTACTACCACACGAACTCGAATCCAGTATGATAACAACGAATTAGAACTGAAAGATCTCTAGATAAAGACTACAGTTAAAAAATAATTTCTAAAGAAACCCAGAAAAGGCGAAGAGAAGGGAAAAAAAAAAGGACACTAAACAACACTGTGACATCTATAGTTATAGCAAAAATTAAAAAGAAACAGCCTTACTCCAAGCCAAATCAACATAAAA